GATGGTGGCCTGGCTGACCGTGCACTGGAGGCCCAGGGCGCCGTAATCGGCCGGTTGGAGCGAGAGGTCCAGTTTAATCGACGGCTGGGGCTGGCTGGGTTGCTGACACCAGCTCTGGGTGATGTCGTCGTACATGTGGTGCCGCATGGCTGCGGCGGTGCATGAAGCTACCGTGTCGTGCGTTGAGTCTCTGAGGCTACAGAGAGCGTCACTGGGAGCGTCATCATCGCCCTCCGGATGTGTAGTCGCGATACCGGCTGCCTGTCGCTGCAGGCAGGCCTCGGTGAAGTGGCCCCGGCGTCTGCAATGACGGCACTGGCTGCGGTAGGCGGGACAGGATTTAGCGCGAACCGCGACAGAGGCTTTTACGCCATGACCTGTCCGACGACAATATTGGCAGACGTCGGCCGGTCCTGCGACTGAACTCTGTTGACGGCCAGCATCGCCAGCTGATACTCGCCGCTCCTGCTCGCCGATGCTCGCTTTCGCTCGCCGGTACTGGCTGCGGGCGGCGGCCACACCTTGAGACTGACCCAGCGTCTGAGCGGATCGCTTACCAGCCTCTTTTGCTTCGACGAAACGAATGGTCTCTTCCAGGGGGATCGGTGTCTGGCCTTGGGCGAGGAGGTCCAGTTGAATATCCCTGTCCGCTAGCCCCCTGGCGAGCGTATCGCGTGTGACTTCATCCTGGTAGCTGACGACCCGTCCGCATTCGCAGGTGACGTGAAACTTACAGACAGCCGCCTGCCCGCGAAGACGAGCGGCGAACGCCCTGACCGGCTCTTCGTGCTCCTGCGTCATGTTGTGGAGCTGGACGCGAGCCACGGCGAGGTTTTCCTCGCGGACGGCGAGACTTCGCATTGCGGCCAAGACAGTCTGTTCGTCCTTGGATGAGAGGGAGCCCCCCGAGAATCTGGTGAGGTCCCTGCGGAGGCCTTCGTCGCAGCATTCAAGCAGCTGGATGACGCAGTCTGTATCGGTGAGTCCGGTGGCTTTCTTGTACTCCGTCCATCGGCTGGTGAAATACTCCCAGTCCTCGCTGGATCCGGCAGCTGTCACGCGCGGTCTGGTGACCTTTTCGGCAGTAATGCTCACTGTAGGCCGGGTATGGGCCTCGGACTGGTGCATTTGAAGAAGTTGTACGACCACGATAGGTGCGGTATCTGCAGCGACGACGTATTCACAGCCGCTGAATGGGCAGGCTGTTGCCATGGTTCGAGGCTCGGGTTTCGACGTTATGCTTGATTGCAAATTAAGATATGTCCAACATAGATAGGCATGCGCGCCATTTCGATATTCTGTATTCGGAATTCAGTGAATGTTGGACATATCTAGTCCTGCGGACGAGACAGAAACAATGTTACAGAGGGAAGGCACTGCATACATGTCTATATCTTAGTCTATGAATGAGTGCGGTCAGGGTCAGTATCACAACTGCCACAGAGTTAACTTGATTCCTATAATATGGGCCCTGTTTCACCGGTGATAGCAGCAAGCTGCTAACGTGATAGCAGCAAGCTGCTATCACGTTTCGCGAGCTGACGTCATGTCGTGACGCCATTCTATTGTCATAATGCATATTTACGTCTGGACAACGAGTTGCGTTGGAGAGTCCGGAAATAGTGGCGATTTCAGGACCGCAAGAATGGACCGTCATTGGAATGACTCTTTTTTAAACCGTGCACTGTTTTCGGCCGAAATTTAATAGTTACTACAAAATATTTTGTTATTACGTTTCCCTAAGAATGAATGCCATCAGGGCTAAATTTTTAATACTATTGCATTTTGTCAAGAAGCATATAGTGCTGTTATATTGCAGTTTTAGCGCGTTTGTTACAAAATATGAAGCGAATAAGCGTCAGTGTAATTCATCAACAGTGGCAGAAGTTAACTTGAATGCTAATTGCTCTTGTCCATCCACTAAAATTTATTAAATATTTTGCTTTGTGTATTCCAAAAGGAGAGGAAACTATTTCATTTGTGCCTTCATGTCAGAATTGAAGGTGGATCATTAAATTTTCAACGCAGTTTACAAACAAGCGTTTGGTCTTTCTCGTTTATAAGAAGTGGCTAAGAAAAGGTTGATCAATCCTGAAGTTCAGTCATCGTACCTCAACTTGGCAGCAAGATCCCCAAGGACAGAGGATATATTGTATACATGTCCTGCTCCTGTAAATCAAAACAAACAAGCATTTGGTCTTTCTCGTATATAAGCAGTGGCTAAGAAAAGGTTGATCAATCCTGAAGTTCAGTCATCATACCTCAACTTGGCAGCAAGATCCCCCAAGGACAGAGGATATATTGTAAACCTGTCCTGTTAATCAAAACATTTTTGTGCCTTCAAAGGCTTAAGTTATCTGTGGTGTGTTCGGAGTTAGGCTATATGGCCGTTTTTGTTGTATGTTTATGTGGAGATTGAATATATAACTGTGACCCTGTGCTTGTTTGTATACTTACGGTCAAACAGGGAACAGCACATTCACATAACATACTCACCTAGCACCTAACTCATAGCTGTACCCTGCAGGATCTGTACTTGTTCATGTCTCGAGCATTAACAAAGCACCAAAGTAGCTTAGTAATCATTTCCCACATTTTCTGAGCATCTAACATGACATACAGCAGTGCAGAGCAGCTTCAGAGAAGAAGCACTTTAAATGCACAGACTCACACCACCAGCCACCCAATGAGCCAGTTCCTCAGTTGACTGTTTCCCTGGACACAGCTTGGCAATGTGAGCTAACTTTTGGCAAGTTGAAGGTTAGCAGGTAAGACTGAGTTAGGGTGAGTACCTACCTATAACTGGGTGCTACTGCCATGCAGGTCTTGGGTAGGCTGCAAATATGTGTGATGATTGAGGTTAGGTCAGCTGTCAGGTTAGTCAGGTTCAGGTATGCTCATTGCTCAGGTCACATTTTATGGACATTTGGCAAATTAAAAAACTAACAATCTGATCTAAGCTAACCCGACTAAACATACACAACTACTGACTATAGGAACTGAGCACCTACCTACTTGTGCCTACATCTCATACCATGTCAAAGTAGAGTTCCTTGGTGGAAGATTACCCTCAGTACTTTTTATCCCAGCCCTGTGAAGAAAACTAATACTTCTAAGCTCTGAGTCACTGCTGGCCATCCACAGGAAGAAACGCTGAGACTGAGAGCTTTGCCATTGTATATTGGACCAATAATGACTATCACGAATGACTATGAACACATAATATGATCACATCGTTGCATGGATTGTCACATTGACAATTTTACTACAATCCTTTTTTCAAGAAATACAGTGATGATGATTAACATCAAAATCAACATAAAGTGGATTTAGTGATCCAAGCTTTCTCCTCCAGTAGCAAATGGAATGATCGCATGTTTCATTTGCCAGACACTGAGTACCTGATGCACATTACAATCTGCATAGCATCTAAGCATAGTAAAACTGCCCAAGTCCATTCATTCTAGATTTTAACTTGATAGTTAGCACTAATTTATCTTGCTGAGCTGTTGTAAGTTATCATTCAATATTCATACCAATACATCAATATGCGCTCATCAGTCAACATTTTCTGGCATGATCCTGCTCAGTGTGCTCTTCAGTATTGCTCCAAGGTCTGCAATATTATAGCTTGTTTTTGGACAATAAGCTCTTTTAATTTTACTTTTTCTTGCTGATATATGAGCCCGATCAACTTGCGTTTATCAACCAAAATTTCATAACTTGTTCAACTTGATATTGATATTGCTCAGTAGTCAGGACCTCCGTCAGCCTCCTGGATACTTCAGATTGTTTCCAGTCAACATGCTTCCTAAATATGATATAAGTCAATCTTAAGGGATTCAAAACATCCAACAAAACGACGTACAAGAGCAAGAAAACCACCAGATAAACTAAAAAATGGCCTTGGAACAGAGCCAAGTGGTGCTCCATTTGTTTGTTTACAATGATTGTAGTGCTGATGTATTGTTAGGACTCTGAACGCCGGCTTATAAAAAATGAAACGTTTTTACAAAAGTTGTAAGGCAAGTAATATTTATCTGAAAGAACTAAAATATTCAAAAGCCAAACACTATGAAATACATGAAACGGAACGAAAAAGTAACCCAAAAATCCAGCCTAATCACCGGCTCCTAAAACTGCAACACAATCAGCACTTTTCCCCGCAACTCGTTGTCCAGACGTAAATATGCTGTCATAATGGGTAGTTCCGGCGCACGATTGCCGCGACCTTGGCGGCGGCATTAAGTGACGTATGAGCCTAAAAGTAAGAGTTTACGCAGTCATGATAGTATATATATTTTTGATATATATTTTTTCAATATGATGTATTTAAAAGAAGTTGGGTTTAGGAAAAATTTGGACATTAACTTCGAACATTTAGCTGATGACGTAAAACAATAGCCCCGTTTACATAGGAGTTGCCAGATTCACATGCCAGCTCGATCTACTTTCAGGTGTTCGGCCTCCGCCATGTCGACAAATGCTGCGCAGCAAATACAAAATCCAGAAATGTGGTAATGGAGTGCTGGCCACCAAAAAGAAAAAGCCTGCCAAGTTTATGACGCTCTTCATGTTATGTAGTTTTGATAATAAACGACGCATGGGCTTCAAATGAATTGTATGTCGTACATTTGGGCATCATATGAGTTGAATATTGCAAAGTTTTTGCCCAACATTTTAGCATAAGACTAAGTTGTTTCAGAGGTGGAGATCTCGGGGGGGGGGGGGTCGGGGTGTCAGGACCCCCCTGAAAACGAATTACTGCTATGTAAGTCAACGGTACTGCATCCAGCCCGCCTCCATCTGCCCGGCCTGGACCCCCGCTGAAATTTTGACAGATCTCCACCCCTGAGTTGTTTCCATGAAAACGATGAAAATAAAGCTGATTGTTATGTTCGATGCACTCCTTGCGGCTTACATTTAGCGGATTGCATTTATTCATATTCTGCATTCATTTATAGAAAGATCAAATATATAACACCCCTTTTCCCGCTTACCTTCAACCTCTGAGCAGTGACATTTTCTTGATCGATTCAAAAGGCATGGAAACACCAAGCAGAAACTGAGTGCGTAAGATATTTGGTAGCAGGTATCACATACGCTCTAAATGACTTTCTAAGCAGATTCGAGAGTCAGTACCTAATTACCTCTAATCACGTTGCGCTCATTCATCAAGTCAAATACCTAAACCGATTGGTAGCGTCATCTAGGCGATCATAAGTGCCAAACTGCTAGTTGAAGACTTCTATTATAGATGGCACTGCTAGACAAGCCAGAGCTAAGCCAGAGGATTTTACCACCGCCGTGAAAAATTCCTAACCAAAGGCGCACTCCGGTCCCCTCAACATAAAACTCCCGATATTTCTCTGACCAATCAGAGTAAGCCTTGCTCGGCGCTGATTTGCTAATCAGAAAATGACGTCATTAGGGAGCCACGGCGTTCAAGCTGTTTTGTGGCGGTTCAAGTGATACACTTAGAAGTCATATTTTGATGTTTTTAGAAAAGTCTAGGATGAATGCTTTTATATTTTCAGAAAAGAACCCTTAATGTTGTTGTTGATAAACCCAACTTCGCTATTTTTGCCAATAGTAATAAGCCAGGAAATCATCTCTTGATGGGTCTTCACGCTAAATCTACCACCCCCAACTACGTCATCATCGTTCCTAAGCATGCTGTACTTGGTCATACTTCGTTGCCCAGCACTAGTTAGCCTTGATTTCCGCCAATCAGAGTGCAGAGCTGTCTGCCGAGAGACAGCAGTACTCGATATTAGTGGTGGGCCAAATACTTGTTTTCTAAGATGTTTTTCTTTCAAGCCTTTTATATCTTACTTTTGTTTATATTATATATCGTTTTATATTTTGTTTTTGTAAAGTATATCTGCATATATTGTGATTTATATAGCTTTACTTAGCTAATATGGCAAAGTGTTTACGAGGGGGTGCAGGGAGATATGGCAGCAGATATGGTGCTTGCAAATAGTCTTTGTACGCATGAAATAGTACCCTTTTTTCGAGCCGAAAATAGCCTATTTATTGCAATTTATTGATGTATTATGCCTGAATTCCGAGAAAGTGGTCTTTGTAGCATTGAATACAGTCACTTGTGTAGTTGCAAAAGGTCACTGGCCAGTTTTGTGATATCTCTAAGCCATCTAGGGAAATGTCTAAATGCTATGTAAACAGGGTTAACATTGCGGCAATCGTGCGCCAGAATTGCCCCTTACGTCAGCAGTATGACGTCATCACATTACGTCAGCTCGCGCAATTTGAGAGCAGCGTGATACAAGATTAAGCTAAATCCTGGATAACTTGTACATTTCATGCATATTGATTTATATCAATATAGGTTCACTGTAAATATCGTGTCCTGATTCGAAATATTGTGAAGAATTTCGATGCACCTGTCCTGGGTAAGAAAACAACATGAATGGCGAGTGCTATCCTATTGAAGAGGTTCCCTAAATTGCCCTAAATGCCCTAAATCAAAATACCCCCGGGCCGAATGTGGATGGAAATGTGGACTAACTTCCGGTACAAATAAACAAGTTCCCATCACGAAAGTATTCGATGATATCGCATTTTGATCAAAAGCTGACGTGTCCGGACAAAATTTCGTCTGACATTTTTTCGTCGGACAGTTTTTCGTCCGCAGATATTCGTCCGACTTTTTTTCGTCTCGCATTTTTTCGTCTGTACATTTTTTTGTCTGTGCATTTTTTCGTCTGTACATTTTTTCGTCTGTACATTTTTTCGTCCGGACATTTTTTCGTTCGTATATTTTTTCGTCTGTACATATTTTCGTCCGGACATTTTTTCGTTCAATAAATTTTACGTCTGTGCACCCAAGGTTGAGTGAAAACATAATACAATGCTATTCAACTGTGAGGCAAATGACGTCATAATAATACTCGGGGCGAAAGCAGTGCAGTGCCGAAGGCAATGCCTTAGGAGAGATTACAGGCAATGGTAAGTCAAATATTTTTAGGTTAAGTGGTTGTGTATCTGGCTTCAGGCCGAAGGCCTGAAGCCTGATGCACAACCACTTAACCTAAAAATATTTGACTTACCATTGCTTGCAATCTATTCATGCAAGTAACTTTTTCCTTATCCCCCGGTAGGCAAACATCAGTAGGTAAGGTTAGGTAAGGTTAGGTTAGGTTAGGTTAGGTTAGGTTAGGTTAGGTTAGGTCAGGTTAGGTTAGGTTAGGTTAGGTTAGGTTAGGTTAGGTTAGGTTACGTTAAAATTGTGGACGAAAAAATGTCCGGACGAAAAAACGCACGTACGAAAAAATATACGAACGAAAAAATGTCCGCAGGGGCGGCGCCACGAATTTTTGACTGTGGGATACTATGGTGAAAAGGGCCCATGGATAGTGAAAGGGGCCCATGGTGAAAAGGGCCCTTGCTGAGTGAAAAGGGCCCATACATTTATCATGGCGTAATATTGAAGGCACTTGCAATAGCAATCTAATAGTCGACAGTGAAAGAATGTTTGACAATAGACAGGGCCGGGGTGTGTTTTTTCTCTCTTTGTAGGTGGAACACGGAACGCAGAGCGTTAACACAAGAGTTGTTAACGACGCGTTGTGTCGAAGCCTATTCTTAATTGACTTGTCCCGCCGTTCGTTTATCCCGCGCCCTGCTGGGGAGTGTTTGAACTTTGAACACCCCTCCTTCTGCGGTTTTTCGCAAATATCTCACGTTTTTGGCACACCTTATCATACATCTTTTTCGCACATGCTGTGAAAATTTTAGCCCAAGGTCAGGTCACCAGGTCACTTCAAGTGGCCTAGTCACCTCCTAAAAAGTTTCAATGCCTGCCATAGCTATACCAAGTGACCGATCGCTTTAGTTTAAAGCTTCAAGCGATTGATAAAAGTAACAATATTTACAAAATGTATATCTCGAAATTTTGATATCAATGACCTAAGGTCAGATCACTTTTCGGGTCTCTCCATTATACCTAAGTGAATGGGAGAAAATTGAGAAGCGTCTGTTTTAGACGAACGCCATTCTAAACATTTTCAAACACTGAATTACGAGTAAACATGACACGCTGAACCGGAAAAAGGCACCCGTGACCCCTCGTTTCAAGAAAGCAGCGTTGCTGGCACTCGGCCAGAGGCGGCCCCAGTAAACATGACGACGTCGGCCCGACGTCGGGCCGAGGCTCGGCCCGACGTCGGCCCAACGTCGGTTCAACTTCGGCCCGACATCGGCTGGACGTCGGATATGCCCGCATGTTCCGACGTCCAGCCGAAGTCCAGCCGACGTCGAGCCGACGTCGGGCCGAGATCGTTTGCCGAGGTTGACGAGATCGTTTGTCGTTGGACCGACGGGGCCGACGTCGGCATGTTTATTGGGACAACGCGCCAAAAACATCAACCGGCGGCGGGATTCGAGCCCCCCAGTCGCCGACGTCGGCATGTTTACTGGGACAACACGCCAAAAGCATCTGCCGGCGATGGGAGTCGAATCCCGTGTCATTCGAACGCGAGGTTAGTGCGCTACCCACTACACCACGCAGCCAGCTAACGAATTTGGTTTGTTTTGTTGGGTTATGCCCTTTCGGTCTGACAAGACCATTTCAGAGCCGGAAGGATCATAGGATGGAGACATTGGTCTTCTTGGCGAGCACCCTGGGTCCAGTTCATACAGAGTCCCTGGTCCCATTGCTATACGTGACACTTATTGGAAAGGGCGACCCCACAATGGATTCATATAGCCTCTCTTACACACCTGCACCAACGTTTCCCAAAGTGTCCCTTTGATAAGTGGCACTTTGGCAAAGTGACACTTGCCGACTGGCCTTTCTATATGAACTGGGCCCGGTCCTGGTGAGTTGCCGGGGCTGAGCCTGACCTGACCAAAGGATAGGCCGAGCAGCCCCCAAGCACTCACCGCACCCGGCTACGGGCGAGCTCGGCTTACGGGCAATCCCAAATGGGATAAAGTTCCCCGTCCAGTCCGGATCAGGGGGTTGCGGCGTGGAGGAAGATTTGAGTTTCCTGAGGATATTTTGAATACAGAAGCTCTTTATGAAACATGAAACATGTATTTTATATTATTTTAACGGTCAAAACAGCGGCCGATGTCGGCCCGACGTCGCCCCGACGTCGGCCCGACGTCGGCTGGACCTCAGCAATTGCTCTCGGTCCGACGTCGGCCCGACGTCGGCTGGACCTCGGCTGGACGTCGGAACATGCGGGCATATCCGACATCCAGCCGACATCGTGCCGAGGTTGGACCGACGTCGGGCCGACGTCGGCATGCCGATGCCGAGTTGCCGACGTCACCCCGACGTCGGCCGACGTCGGGCCGACGTCGGCATGTTTACTGGGGCCATATATTGTTTTTACAAAACAAATCAGATGCGGGACAGAACTGACCTCACGAGCGGTCATCCGCTCGCCGCATGTGGCGGCCGGCGCCTCTAGCGCCGAGTGCCGCAACTACCTATGATTATGTCTCCGAGGTCATCTCAGGTCACGAATGGTATCTAACAGTTTTTCGCTAATAACTTTTGGTAGAGGCAAGGTAGAGCGATGAAAACGCCTTAGATGTGTTTGGCTCGACGATATGGATCGACTGATATGCAGCATGACTTTTTCCGGTCAGATCATGACCTTGACCTAAAGTCAAATTTTCAAGTTGACCTTTAAGGTCAAATTATAGTTCATTCGACGCGTCTCGACGAGAGGAACACGATGCTGGCAAAAATAATGTCGTGTCTCTCTTGAGTCAAAAGTTAATGAAAAAACTTTTTTCTTAAAAAGCGACGGAGTTTTGCCCTCTGGAGGCTAAACCGTTAACCTGAGGTCAAATCTGAGAACATTATTCAGAAAGGCCTGTAAAAGAATTATCGATTGCGCTTTTCCGCGGCGTTGTAGCTCTATTGGTTCCTGAGTTGTCCGTTGGCAGTTTCGAAAAATGTCGAAAGAGCAAAATTTGACATTTGATGACCTCTGGTGAGCTGACCTTTGACCTGACCTAAAAAAGTATTTTCATCATCGTTTTTGACGTTCTTTAGAATGCCGCTTACCGCATGTCGCTACGTGGCCCAGGGGCCGAGTTAGAGGGGGGTCAAACACGCCCCAGCAGGGCGTGGAAATCCAGAACCCCAGCGGGGCGCGGCCGCGCGGGTTATTACTTAGTACGGTACAGGGGAGGGTTCAGAAAATCTCCAGGGGAGGGGTATTCCAAATCGGGGGGCGTGGACCCACATATACCCCCATGTTTAGTCCGGATTTCGCCCACTATATGTTTGAGGGTTATTTTATTCTATTGCCGTCCGATGGGCCCTTCAGATGCAGTAAACGAGCCCCATGATCGCTTGACCAGGGCACTCTGAGCTACATGAAGACCCTCTAAGCTACAGAAAGGCTCTCTGAGCGCTTGAAGTGCCCCCTGAACGCTTGACGGGGCCCTCTTTGCCTTTGCCTAGAAAGGGCCTAGTCTGAACACATGAAGTCCCCTGAACACTTGACGGGGTCCCCCTGAGCTACAGAAAGGCCCTTTGAATATGCAAGGCCCTCTGAGCGTATGAATAGGCCCATGATCCCTTCATGAGGGCCCTCTGAGTGCATAAAGTACGCTCGACGGGGCCCTTCTGAGCTACAGAATGGGTCTGAATACACAACAGAGTCCTATAAGTGCATGAAGGGGCCCCCTGATCACTTAAAGGGGTCCCTGATCGCTTGACGGGTCCCTGGTTGCTTGACGGGGCCCTCTAAGCCACAAAAAGGCCCTATGAGTACATGACAGAGCCCTCTAAGCGCATGAAGAGGCCCCTGATCGCGCGTGTCGGGGCCCTCTGAGCTACAAGAAAACTCTCTGAGCATATAAAGGGCCCCTGAACGCCTGACAGGGCTCTCTGAGCGACAGAAAGGCCCCCAGCGCTTAAAGGGCCTCTGAACGCTTGACGAGGGCCCTAGAGCTACAGAAAAGCACTGAATACACGAGAGGACCCTTTAAACGCATGAAGGGGCCCCTGATTCCTTGACGGGGGCCTTCTGAACACATGAGAAGGGTCCCTGATCGCTTGACGGGGGCCCTCTAGGCCATAGGCGTAGGAACGTTTTCGAAAGTGGGGGGGCCAGGGTCCCAGAGGTCCAAAACCTAACCTACCCCCAAAATCCGATTTCTCCTCGGATTTCGGCCACTTTGTTTTCGCAAACATGCTCAGAGGTAAAAAAAAAAAATCGAGACAAAAAAAGAAAAAAATTTGTTGAAATTTCAGGGAGTCTCCCGTCCATAAGCTCAAACTGATGGACGCGTTCCCCTGACCTCCGCAGCCGTTGGCACCCATGCAAATTCCAGAGGCATCCAGCAACTTTTTCATTACGAGCAAGCGTGAAACGTGCAAAGCGAGTCTTTTCAATATACCTATAAAAATCAGCATGAACGGCCCAGCTAGGCTCAGCCAGGCCTATAACGTTTTTAAGAGGTTTTATATCAGCGACCACTGCAACTGGGCTGATTGACTATCACTTATCAGAGGCCGGTGTGGGATTTTTAGACGGTCTGGGCCTTCAGAGGCCAGTTTAACCCTCCACGGCCCGGTCCTATAGGTTTTCTACATACGCGCTGGCCGAAGGGGCGGGCCGGCGGGTACGACCCCCTCGCCGTTTCGCCCCAGGTGGAGCTAGCGCGTCGCGGTAAAACGAGCGTGTGCGCCGTTACGGGACGCAGAGATCGATACCCGATTTTATGGTCCTAGGTCAACCGGTGACCTCTGACACCGTTCCGTGCTTCTATCCTCAGGATACTGAAATCCTTCTCCTCCACACCGCAACCCCCTCCGGGCTGGACAGGCAACTTCATCTCATGCGGGCTGCTCCCTTGGAGCGGCACCGCTGCTCCCGAGGGAGCGCACCCCGTAGCCGGGTGCAGTGAGTGCCTTGGGGCTGGGTGGCCTGTCCTCTGGACCCTATATCCTATCATCCTTCCGGCTCTGAAATGGTCTCATTGGACCGAAAGGGCCTAACCCAACAAAACAAACAAAAACCGGTGACCTCTGAGGTCAGGTCAAGTGCCTCAAGGCACGGTTCCGTTTTTGGTGAATAACTTCGCAAAAAATGGCCGCAGAGCCGCGATTTTGCCAGCATCGTGTTCGCCTCTCTCAGGCGCGTCGAATGATATACTTTTTGTTTGGGTGAGGTAAACTTAGGGTGTTGACCTCGGCACTGGCGGTCCCAGGGGGGGGGGGGCCACGGGGGCCATGGCCCCCCCTTTGGTGCTGAAAGGTGGGGCCATACTATCTTTTGGCCCCACCTTTCAGATCGAACAAAAGTCCTAGAAAAGCTTTTCGTATGATTCATTTTCTTTTTTGCGCCATCAAAGGACGTAAATTTCACTCATGAGTGGGCTCAGTTTCGCATTCTGTCAATTTGGCGGTCAGCGTCGCTGGCACCGGTTCACGACTATCACGAGTATGGCCGGATCTTATATGGAATATCAGCGTGGGTTTACTTGAGGCTCTCGTAGGCCCAGCAATGGCTGGCATGAGACCCCCTTCGGCAGTGGTGGGTGGGCCCTGCTAAAGGAGATTGGCTCTAAGATACTAAAGTAAGACCTCATGGGTTGGTGCTGTGCACATCAGAAGCCCGGTGGTGACGCCGTATGCCGGCTTGGTTTCTTAAGGATTAGCTTGGGAACTCCGGGGCCTGCATAGAGTTTGCATGAGCTAGTATGTAATCTCAGAGGCATGTCTGTAGTGTGTACACAGTGGCGGTCGCGGGGGGGGGGGACATCAGGGCCATGCCCCCCAAAGGTCAATAAAGGGGGCCATCATATCATTTACCCCCCCCCCCCCACCTCAAACAACCAATGGGCCCCCATATAGGTGTATGGAGCCCTGGCAATTATTCGATCGTCACGAGGCTCAAAAAACCCACGCCCAGCTATTAATATAGCTCCCACACCGGTCTTTGAGCGTCCTACACTGACCTCTGATGGAACTTCAGTGGCGGTCAAGCGCCCACGTTGACCGCTAAGAGCCTACATCAACCTCTGAGACCCCACATCTGGCCTATGCGGGCCCCTAACCGGCCTCAGGGGTCCCAACCGGCGTCTGAGGGTCTCACACCGGTCTCTGGTGGCCTTATTTCTGTCTGTGGTGTCCCAAGACGAGCCTTTAGGTGCCAATGAGGGCCCCGCACTGGCTGCTGAAGACCCGATGCCGGCCTCTAAGGGCCTTCATTGGACTCTGAGGAGGGCCCATCTTAGCCTTTGAGGGCCCTCTGCTGGCCTCTGGGGTCCAACGATGGCTCATGCCGGTCTTTTAGGGCCCCACGCTGACCTCTGAGAGCCCATGTTGGCCTGTAATGACCCACATTAGCCTCTGAGAGCCCAACTCGGTCACTGATTGTCTCAAACTACTGGCCTTTGTAGTTTGCAGGCCCTATACTAGTCTCTGAGGGCCCTAAACTGGCCTCTACGTGAAAACATACATGGGTGGGTTTCTGAAGATCAGAGGGCTCACGCAGTCTCCGGCACAGCCTTACGTTGGTCCTGATCGAGATTACTTTACGTCCTGATGGTCCCGCGCAGATTCCCTCATATTTCGACGTCGGGACCCCATCAGCCGGTGTGGGTCCTGGGGCTGGCAGAGACTGATGAAGTCCTTAGGGCTCAGGGCCAGTCTTTTTAGCAGTAAGACTAGGCAGGTTGAGTGAGCCCCAATAGAGCCGTTGCGAAGCCCCGCAGGAGTCGCGCGCGGCCCTCAGATGCCAATTTTGAAAGCTCGGAACCTGTGGGGGGTCTCCAGAGGTCGGTGTACCTACTCTCTCCCGCCACCACACAACTAGGTTTGTTACCTATATGGGTAAATGTCATAGTCTGAAAATGCTCTCTGGGTTTCACATGCTTGTTCTAAGCAAGAGGTATCTGTACTTTTCCGAATTGTTTTATAGTGGTAAGGTCATGAATCCGCGTGCCTGACCTTCCAGTATACCTATGCTTATTGCTTCACCGATCCGTCGTCATGGTGCAGTGGGCCGACCGGTGGGAGCACCGTGGGACGGGAAATGGAACTGGTGATTTTGCCTTAAATTGAGCTTAAATATTTCACGCAAGAATCAGATGGATGAAGCATAAGTAATGCCAACTGCGCGGCACCTCGTGGACGTAAAAAATTAGCCGATCACCCACCCCCCCTCCCGGTGACGGATAAATGTTATGTCCCGCGAGTGTGACTTTGGCCCCCCCCCCCTTTTGCTAGCGGCTGCGACCGCCAGTGGACCTCGGGTCACGGTCAGGTCGGCGTCCCCAGGTCACGAAATTGGTCGAAGGAGGTCATGTCGCATATCATTCGATTCGGCAGGTCTTCTTGAGTCCATAGGTGGCTTTCCCGACTCGCTAGCTCAATTTGATCGGTACCTAGTTATTGACGAAAAACTAATAAGACCCTTATAACTTCATAAATGACGTCGCGCAAGGTCAACATTGCAAAAGTGACGCATCGAACCTTGCAAGGAGTGCATGAAATCACGATTCGGTGTGCTTGAGATAGTTGGAGATCGATCATTCCCGGCGCCAGAAAAAGTTTTCAGTTTATCCCCATTGACTTATACCTAATGGTGAGGTCACGAAAATGACCTGACCTCATATGAACTTTAGGAAAAATCCGAGATATACATTATACAAGTTGAAAGACTCCTATTGGATACTAGGTCCTCCAAGGTTCATTTCCCTGTGAAATCTCCTCTGGCAGTGAGGGCGTTGCGAAGTTGCGACATCTGAAGACCGTGCAGAGGTTCACTTATGACCACATGGGTCAGTGACCTGATCTGACCCGAAAATGCGGTTGGTGTCAAAAGATCCCGTTTGATTCAAAGGTCAGGTATGCCAAGCTTCAGCTCTCTATCGCCGGCGTGTTCGGAGCTATCGCGAAAAAAAAACTATGGAGGGGCGGCACCCCCCCCCCCCCCCGGCTGGCGAGGGTTAAGGCCCTCAGAGACCAGTACAGGGCCTGCAAAGGGCAGGATGAGACCTTAAGATGCCGACTTGGGCCATCAGAGGCTAATGTGGGTCCTTACAGGCCAGTATGGGCCCTCAGAGGTCAGTGTGGGACCCTAAAATGCCGGCATGGGCCGGTGTTGGACCCCAGAGGCCAGCAGAAGACCCTCAAAAACCAAGATGGGCCTCAGAGGCCAGCATCGGGTCTTCAGAATCCAGTGCAAGGCCCTCAGAGACTAATGCGTGTCCTTACAGGCCAGCATGGGCCCTTAGAGGTCAGTGTGGGGCCGTAACAGACCGGCATGGGAGGGACTTGGAACCTAGAGACCAGCGGAGGGCCCTCATAGGCCAAGGTGGGCCCTCAGAGGCCGATGTGGACCGTTGGAGACCGGCATCGGATCTCCGGAATCCAGTGCGGGGCCCTTAGAGGTCAATGTGGAACCCTAAAATACCGGCATGGGCCGGTGTTGGAACCCAGAGACCAGCAGAAGGCCCTCAAAAACCAAGATGGGCCTCAGAGGCCGGCATCAGGTCTTCAGAATCCCGTGCAAGGCCTCATAGGCTAATGTGGGTCCTTACAGGTCAGCATGGGCCCTTAGAGGTCAGTGTGGGGCCCTAAAAGACCGGCATGGGCCGGCGTTGGACCCCTCAGGCCAAGGTGGACCCTCAGAGGCCGATGCGGACCCTTAGAGGCCGGCATCGGGTCTTCAGAATTCAGTGCGGGGCCCTCAAAGGCACCTAAAGGCACCCCAGAGACAGAAATGAGGCCACCAGAGGCCGGTGTGAGGCCCTCAGACGCCGGCTGGGCCCTTGAGGCCGGTTTAGGGGCCCTCAAATGAGGTCAATGTGGGTTCTCAGCGGTCAATGTGGGCGCTTGACCGCCACTGAAGGGCCCTCCGAGATCAGTGTAGGACCCTCAATGACTGGTTTGGGAGCTGTTAATAGCTAGCGTGTGATTCTTGAGTCTCGTGACAATCGAATAAGGGCCAGAGCCCCATACGCCCATGGGGGCCCATTGGTTGTTTGGGGGGGCCAAATGATATGATGGCCCCCTGATTAGCCTTTGGAGGGGGGAAGGGCATGGCCCTGATCCCCCTCTGCGACCGTCACTGCACTGAAAGTGGAAGGGGGAGGGGCAGAAACAGACATTGCTGGCCCCCAGCCTGTTTGAAACGAGGCTGAGGCACGGTCACCCTGGCCCCCAGCTAGTACGTCTTTGACGAACTATGCCGACCCCAAGCAGATAAGGTCAAGCGTTGGTCGTTTGTATACGCATTCTCCTGCACCGTGCTAGTATTGTCTTAGTATTGCCTATACCTTTTTAGTGCTCGCTGTCCCGCGCCTCGTATTCAACAAAATGCTGTCACCAGGACTCACAGTCTTGTCTCTGATATGGTTTCCTTCATTGAGTGAAGGAAATTGCGGTCAATAACGCTGTAGAAACAAAAAGGAATCCTCATTAAAGGGCAAGCTGAATAGTTGTCAAGTTACCGGGTGGTAGGTTAGGTACAGACAGACACTTAAGTCAGCAAAAAGTGGGGGGGCCAGTTAACATTGCTGGCCCCCCCACCTCCGAAAGTGGGGGGGCCATGGCCCCCCCGGCCCCCCCTGTTCCTACGCCTATGCTCTAGGCTACATAAATGCCCTCTGAGTACACGACAGAGCTCTCTAAGCGCATTAAGGGCCCCTGATCGCTTGACGGGGCCCTCTGAGCTACATAAGACTATCAGAGGCCATTATTATAAAATAAATTCCGAGCCGGCTGCGAATTTTATTCCCGATTCTGAGCCGTTGATTATCATAAAAATGCAGCCTGAAAAAAATCGAGCGGTAAAAAGAAGACAAAGTCACGTGGCGGTGGACGCAAAATTCCGAGCTACTGATTATTATAAAAATGACTTTTTTACTATTTAAGGCGCATAAACAGCGCCACAATTGTACAAAACTGCGAATTTTCAGCAAATATTTGCAGTCGGGTACCAGCGTCGTAAAATTTTGCAAAGCTAGTCTTATGACGATAATTTCACTCGTAACCTATCAAATATTTCATAATATGTGCATTCCATGCATTTTTAACGCTTCTAGCGATAACTTTAAAGCTATTTATGAGCCCTGGGACATAAAACAGCTTGTCTAGCAGGAAGAGAAGTAAGCGGCATTCATCCCAGTTATGAAGAAGCGTTCAAACGTTCTGTCAACTCATGGGCGCAGCATTGGCGTGCTAAGAATTGTGACCATAATGTGAGTATATCAACTGCCTCAGCACGCTGTAACTTATTTAACATATATATTATTTCTGATTTTGTCCAGCTTGTCAAGGTACCTAATTGATATTTATAACTAACATCAGCTGACATGGTCTAAAGATCGAACCAGGAAGAAAGGTATCTATTTGGGATTGGTTTTCTTTCGCGAATGTATAGGAGGGATTCCCTTATCTTTACGATTCGCGTGAAATTTATTTATTTATTTATTTATTTATTTATTTATTCATTCATTTATTCATTTATTTATATTTTGATACATACTCCTTATAAAGTCAATAATGATCAATACTACTAGAACATAGAAAATGGAATATAAGACTGTTTTCGACCCGCAGCTAACTAGGCCATTTTCCATAAAGTGACCGGATAGGAATACTGTAAGGTAAACCCTGTAAAGGTACTGTAAAGGTATACCCAGGTACAGTAAAGTTTTCCAGCAGGTTAAGCGTATAGTGAAGGTCGGGTCAGGGTCATGTCAAAATGACCAAATTAAGATGCGATGAATGTAAAAAACTGTGTGTTTCAGATGCAGTTCGAGCTGAGGAATCCTATGCATTTAGTGGAACGTTTAAAAGTTGCAAAAAATAGTAGGCAAGTCTTCGAAGGTGATGTTTCAGAAGTAGTACGTCCCAGCTAGTACGTCTTTGACGAACTATGCCGACCCCAAGCAGATAAGGTCAAGCGTTGGTCGTTTGTATACGCATTCTCCTGCACCGTGCTAGTATTGTCTTAGTATTGCCTATACCTTTTTAGTGCTCGCTGTCCCGCGCCTCGTATTCAACAAAATGCTGTCACCAGGACTCACAGTCTTGTCTCTGATATGGTTTCCTTCATTGAGTGAAGGAAATTGCGGTCAATAACGCTGTAGAAACAAAAAGGAATCCTCATTAAAGGGCAAGCTGAATAGTTGTCAAGTTACCGGGTGGTAGGTTAGGTACAGACAGACACTTAAGTCAGCAAAAAGTGGGGGGGCCAGTTAACATTGCTGGCCCCCCCACCTCCGAAAGTGGGGGGGCCATGGCCCCCCCGGCCCCCCCTGTTCCTACGCCTATGCTCTAGGCTACATAAATGCCCTCTGAGTACACGACAGAGCTCTCTAAGCGCATTAAGGGCCCCTGATCGCTTGACGGGGCCCTCTGAGCTACATAAGACTATCAGATCATATAAAGGACCCCTGAACGTTTTGCAGGGCTCCCTAAGCGACAGAAGGGCCCTTTGAACGCATAAAGGGCCCCTGAACGTTTGACGGGGCCCCTCTGAGCTACAGAAAAGACCTATACGTACACGACGGAGCCCCTGATTGTTTGACGGAGCCCTCTAAGCCACGACAGGGCCCCTTGACAGCGCGTGAGAGGGTTCTCTGAGCGCCAGGTAGGAGCCCGCTGAGCTATTGAAATCCCTGTTGATCTAAAAAAGGCCTTCTGTCCGTCTTAAGAGTGATCTGCCGATCAACAAAGGGCCTTCTACCGGTTTTCGGAAGACGCCGCTTAAATGTATGGCCCTCTGATCGACGTAAACAATCTGCTGATCTGAAAGGGTCCTCTGTCTGTCTTTAGAGGGCCCTACCGATCTACAGAGGGCCCTCAGATGGCTTTTAGATGGCACTGCTGATCTCAAGAGGGCCCTCTGTCAGCCTTCAAAGGGCCCTACCGATCTGCAGGGGCCTGTTATAACCTACCAATATTGGCCCTTTGTTGGCATTAGTCATTTGACCACTGCTAAAACATATTTAATGGTTTTAGAGGGCCATTGCACGACTACGAAAAAGTGTTTGAAAAAGTTCAGACTGGGCTCCTGACTGTGGGGTACTGGGTATATGCAGTACCCCACAGTCAAATGACTGTGGGGTACTAGTACCCCACGTACCCCACGGTGGCGCCGCCCATGAATGTCCGGACGAAAAAATGTACAGACGAAAAAATGAACAGACGAAAAAATGCACAGACGAAAAAATGTACAGACGAAAAAATGCGAGACGAAAAAAAGTCGGACGAAAATCTGCGGACGAAAAATTGTCCGACGAAAATCTGCTGGACGAAAAACCGTCATGGAATCAAAGCTGATGACGTTAAAGGGACCCTCCCACCTTAACATTAGTTTTGAGTTGAGATAGCCAAATTGGTGGCCATGGCCTGAAAATACCGGTTTGGGCATTCACAACATCGAAAAATGCTTTAATTCGGAGATATGGAATTTCAAACTTGCAGTTTTCGGATTCTAAGGGGCTAATGCATTGGTATGCCCCCTTAGAATTTGTGACGTTAGCGGAGATCTAACGATTTTTAAATCTTTTACTAAAACGTTTGGCAGCACGCGGTGGTATATGCTGCTTTGCGCGCAACAAATGCCGCACTTTCAAATTAAGTCGCTAGGAACAGCGGAGATCCCAAAAAGTAAACAAAAGTAAAAGTCTAATATCTTGAAAACCGGTGAATATTTTTCGATGAAATTTAGTGGATATTCATTTTTGCTCTTTCTGAACCGAGCGACATCACTTTCATGCCAATTCATTAACTTTTTTGAAGGTGGGAGGGTCCCTTTAAGGATGCAGACGAATAGAACGTCGCGTAATGGAATCTAAATGCTAGCGCTAGCAGAAAGTCGTTTCGATGATTTATTTTGAACAGAATTCTAGCAAATTTGTCAAGGGTCTCTGTTGCTGTTGTGAAATGCGAGTTGAAGTGGGGGCATTCACATTGGGGGGGTTATATGGCCTTGATTGGGGGCTTGATTGGGGGCACGATTGGGGGGTGATTGGGGAATCCCCAGTTCATTCGATAAGTAATGTAGGTTTAAGTTTGACCAGCGAACTCATAATTTATTTTCAGGGTGAATAATTTGTAGGTAGTCAGTACTGTTTTAACAACCTGAATGCTTTATTTTTACTCATTTGCTGATAACATTACCCCGAAGCTAAAAGACTGCGGGGGCCGGGGAGTCAGGGACCTGGACCTGGGTCCCTGACTATGAAATGAAGGCCTTCATTTTATTCCCACAGCTAGTTCCATTAACGTTGACGTTGCTGTTTTTCATTCCAGACAAACCATGGGGGTACAGAGTACGAATATAGTATGCCGGTCGGACCGGCCTGGAGAGACTGCCTTTCGGTGTGGTGAGACAGTCAACGGCTCTGTCGTTGTCACCATCGATGGCCACAAAAGTCACAAGTTCAGCTGTAAGTATTCAGTATCACTGGAATCACAGTGGTACCTACATAATTAATGCAGTTGTAGCCAGGAAAAAACTCAGCAAACCCTGTTGTAGTGGCTCACCCTAGCTCTGTTTGCCCCCGTTTATTTATCAGCAGGCTACGAGCATGCTGCTACTTCTTGGTTCCTCATTGGTGGAATTCAAGTGGTCTATTCGTTAGACCAATGATAGTCCAAGAAGCGCCAGCCATATTTTCCTTATATGGGGAAAACCGACATAAAATGCTGATATAAAAACAGTGACCGAACAGGGCCCTGGTCAACTCACCTGGTGGTTGAGTGGATAAGGAGGCTGACTGTTGACTCTGTGCCAGCAACTTTGAAGCTCACTGACTAGACAGAATACACTTACTGACCTTCAATGATTTTAAAGAAATTTTGCTCAGCTGAATGCGTACCTTTGGCCTCTGGGTCTGGGTACCACACTAAGCACTGCTTGTTGCAAAAGACACCACAGACCCACCAGTGCCATCTTACCTTGCCTGCACCTGGTACCCTGATGATAATTTTTCCCCGCGTGCGACGTCTCTCGAGTCTCGGACGATGAAGCTTCTACATCGTCCAGCCAATCACGTTCCATAACCGCAGCCGAGCCCCGCTGACCTTGAACGGGATTGGCCGGATGATGTAGAATCTTTGTCCACCCAGTTCTAGGTGGCCCTCCCCTGCCACTTGCCAGCTGGTAATGCGGGTCAAACGACTGAACGACATGGAGCTTCCCGACCGCGAACTCGTCACCAAGTAACGAGACGGACGCATTATCCACTAAGCCACACGGATATGTATCACTATTCAGGTTAGCCGCCAAATCATTAAATAAACGCTTGTTTCAGCGATGCTTCTCAAGGTTCGAGTCCAGGCTAAGACAGAATGGGAAGAAAATGATACCAACTACTCGGAAACTCAGGATCTGTTTCGACTGGACCTTCCGCTTCGTTCAGGTGAAGAGACTGGGAACAGGTGGTTCTTTGGGACTTGGGAGATGGGAGGTGTATTGCCCCCTCTCGTAACAACAGCGGACTTTTGCGTGATCATTAGTGTGGGATGAGTTACAACCGAAACTCTCGCAAAGGTAACTCGAGTAATGCCCATTTAAGCAATTTAAGATTATTGTATTTTTTCCACATATATTTATCAGTTTTATGCTTTCGGGGACAAGTAATGCCACATTTCATACGCACCTGCGTCACCCACATTTAACCCCAGTTTCTCTACAGATTCGTGTTCCACCTGACCCTCGTCGCCTCCCCCCTCCTCAGCCACTACCGGAGAAACATCCCTGCCCCCCGGCCAGCACCAGCTTCCCTTCAGCTTCCCGCTGCCGGAGCGGCTGCCGCACACGATGAAGTACCATGAAGCCAAGGTGGTGTTCTTGCTGAAGGCCCGACTGAAGAGCAGTAGCATGTGGTCCTGGGATGGCGCCCAGGAGGTCAAGCTGAGGATTCTGCCGCAGCGGGACCTCAGTCAGTGCTTTGATCTCGCTGTGAGTATGGGAGGAAGCCTGGCGACTGTTGAAAGCAGTAGGTATCGTGCTGATTGGATTAGGTTATATACGAGTTAAATTAATACACCGATACGATTGTTTACTCGTTCATAGGCACTGATTACCGATTGAAATATGGCTAGAGCATGAAACTATCGTTACATACTCGTGAGTTTCCTATCGTTTTTCGCATTAAACTCGTTAACCTACTTCGTCAGTTCATATCCCTATTGTGGGCACTACCTGTAGGTAAAGTGTATGGTTATCATGTGACATATGTACTATGAAGATCACTGTATTAATTAAAGACCATCTCGCCCCGTTCTGACGTCCTCCAAATATCCACGCTCCGTCGCCAGGCTCCGCTGAAGATGCTACGTGAAGACAAGTGGACTATGTGGAACGGTAACCCGGGGGAGTTTAGTGTCACCGTCGCCAAGCAGGGCTACGTGGCCGGAGAGACCATTGACCTGTGGATCGACGCGAGTGACGGCGTCTACACAGAGTTGGCTCAGCTGGATGGACACGTCAAACTGAAACGGGTGGGTGAGGGGCGTTGTTTCACGGCCGCTAGCAGCAGCCTAGCAGTACGCTGCCAGCTCATTTCGCGAGCTGACGTCACATATTGTGGTAGTGTTAGAGAAACGCGTTTCCATGGCAACCCTATTTGACACTTGTGCTGACAGCGTGCTGGCAGTGGACGTGAAACAGGCCCAGGGTCTACGTCCTTTGGTAACACATATCCCCTCATCTGCAATCAAAGGCGTGAGAGAGGGTGTCCCAATCCTCATTCCTACCCGGTTGGTGATTGCTTCGAAAGTAAGCGCCATCAACTCCCAAGAACATTATAAATTTATTTCTCATTCTCGATGCTAACGTTGCTGTTTTCTTTTTTCAACATTTTTTCACAATTCACGCCTTAAAACCTTGAAATGATATTGATCATTTGTTATGTGTAGTTTCGTTGGCTTGAATATGAAGTGTCTGCTTTCGGCGGCCTGCACAAGATTGCGCAACAAAAGACGAGCATGGCGTGCTTGAGGCCAATTTCTAGATGACCCTGGTTGATAAGCTTTCACCCTGGTTCTGTCACTGTAATCACTCTTAACTAAGTCCTGACTGATGTTTTTAAGCTGTTTTAATAAAAGGGCGACGCTATGTCGGGTGTTGCCTTTGAGATATCTCTTGCACGTTTACCTTAATTGGTGGCAAAACTGTTTCTTAGAAAGTGGATTGTAACAGGGAATGCATATTATGTCGTTATTCAACAATTTTGCTGGCTGCCTGAGTGGTTTACAAGCTATTGAGCGAATGTGTTTTATAATGTATTCTTGAGAAGCAGCGCAATGGGTTGAGCATCAGTGGCGCATGCTAGGATAAAATTGAATTCCTATCAACTCCGAATTCCCTCGTAACTTTTGTTTTCATCCGTTGCTTCTTCCTGATGGCCTCTCATCCTCCACCTTTATCTGTTCTCACTCCCTTTTTCTACCTCTTACAGCTAGTGGTGGCCCGTGAAGGAAAGAAAAACTACAACGAGGAACGCACGTCCATAGCCACAGTGAAGCCGGGGAAAGCGGCCAGCGCGTGGCACCGGATTCAACTCACCGTACCGGAGGATGAGATCACCATGGACGACCTGGCACTCTGTCGCATCATCAGTGTCACCTACTACGTCAAGGTGAAGGCACTGTGACTTTGGCAAGGTCAGGTGATAGCGACAGATCAAAGGTCAGGCACGGAATGTATATAGTCTATGACAGTCCTAGATTGTTGTAGCTTGTCGTAGGTTATCGTAGACTATATATTCCGTGGGCCAGGTGATAGTGGCTACTGCAAGGTCAAGCTACACTCGTGATTGTTGCGGTGAGGTCCGGTCATTTTGTTCGATGCGGTGAGTCGTGAGGTCAGGTAATTGTATTTTTTTGCTACGTCAAATTAACCCTCGCCCGTATTGGTGTTTTTCCAGCCGCGAACGTATAAGGGGGGGGGGGTCCGTTGGACCCCCGCTTGCCGTTTCGCCCCTGATCGAGCCAGAGCTTCGCGGAAAAAACGAGCGTGTTGCCCGTGACGAGAGGAAGCCGATGATACCCAATTTTAAGGTCCTAGGTCATTGGTTGACCTTGCAGGTCAGGTCAATGACCCCAAAGGCGGGAAAATCGGGCCCTGTTAGAACGTCGTAAAGTGTGGCTGCTATGGGGTTTTTCGGGGTGCTGATCACGAATATCATGTTAGTTTTGATCACAGATGATGTCTTCATGTATTAAGGCCAGGTCGGGTCAGGTCAGGTCAACCAGTAAGGGTATTCGTAGTAGGTGGCAACCGCCTCTGACAGCTTCGTAACATGTTACGAAGGCACCAAAACTACTTCGTAAATGTTCATATGGTTGCTAAATTCGAATTCAGCTCCAAAAACTGGCCTAGAAACATGTAAAACTCGAAAAAGTGAACCGAGGTCATCAAAGGTCAATGACCTGACCTGACCTTCAGGTGACCTTCACACCCACCCTAATGCATGAGAGCAACATCATATCACATGTTTGAACGCTTGAAACCACGAAAAGACTGCAAACGCGCGGCTAATGCGAGCCGACATACGCCGAATCGCGATTCCAACCAAACATGGTCTCGAAAAGTAGGCCACAGGTCAAAGGTCATTTGGGTCAGGGTCATGAAATTTTCAGGGTAGGTGTGAAATTGATGAACGCGAGGGTACTGAAAGTTTCGTCGCGATCGGCCGCTTTTTACGCGAGTTATTTGCGAAAAACCATGGGGGGGGTCCGTTCGACCCCCCCCCCCCTATACGGGCGAGGGTTAAGCCTGGTCATTGTGCCATTTTCTTGTTTAACAAGTCACAGCGACCGGTCAAATCTGGTAGGTATTGGTTTATTCGTCAGTCAGGTCATTGCGTCATTTGCTTCTTATTGTCAGATCGATTACTTCGATCTTTCTCTATGCTGTGAAGTACTAAAACGATATTTTTATTGACACTACGACATATCGCCTGACAATTTTGCAAAAGCTGCCTGAGATCAGTACAGCATGCCTATATAGCTCGATGAACAATGAACATACAAATAACATAACCGTTTACGGTATCCGTAATACTTCACTGGATCCTCCTATACCCGCCTAAACTGCTCTTTGCTCCACAGGTATGCGACGTTCACATTCCGGTGACTCTGGGCACCATCCCCACGCCGAAACGATAATCGCCTCGTGGGCTCCACTATACAGATGCGTCCCGCCTTCGATCAAAGCAGCACTGATGCTTTGTCTGCTTGGGCCTTCTCGCTGGTGCATAGCTTACAGTATGCCAGCGAGAGAGCTTGGCGACCGTTCGTGCCATTAGGAATAACAAGATAAGTTTATTTTTGCTTGGGTGGTCATTGCAAGTGTAGTTTATTTACATTTGTGATGGGTCGTGGAATACGTTTGCAGTTTCTAGCTATGGTGAAGGTTAGAAATGTTTATAGCTTTAGTGCTACTGCTCTCTGGTTTATAGATAGTATAACGCATGCATATATATTATGTAATATGCACTAGCCAGCAATCCACTTGTGTGGGTGAATTTTACGCCCCATTTGTAAAAGATATTTTCCTTTGAGCGTCACTTCTAACCAGTTTCTGTGCAGGTATTTGATAACTATTTGTCTAGTCATTAAAAGTGTTTTTGCTTCCTAAGATACTTTACTGCCTACCATATTGTACTTTCACCTCTAACTTAGCTACTTTTACATTTTATTTTACGTGCTTATATAAAATGTCGATACCTTTTCTGGCAGTATTTTTAGGACGATTAGTTAGTTGCGATCTGGGTAGACGTGAAACGTATATAGTGACGTGTGAAGAAAAGAAGACGTGAAGAGCTATTGAAGAACGTCTGAATCCTGTGCTGGCGCGGTTTTGAGCCGCCCTGTCTGCCATTTGTGTGGGATAGCGACCGACATAGGATTGAATGATAGAATCCTGGCGTCAATATTGATATTGCGTTGCACACTGTCGCATGATATAGTTGAATGCTCGTCGATATTTTGTGCAAATGCCTTATGGATTGGTGAGACGCCTTCCGTGCTGTTTTTGACAAGATCGTGTATTTTCTATTTATCTTTATCACTTGAGCATTGAGCAATGCATTCTATTTTGCAAACGTTTGTACGAATTTACCTCAAGTCACTTCTTTGTGGCACCAAAAGTAACTTGCTGTGCCTTTTGATAGAAACTGTCCAAGGTATAATCAAGCAAACGTCTTTTATAGATCTGATGTCATTCTGCGCCAGTCTGTATAATATGACAGACGTCTAGTATAGATCTGATTTAATTCTATGTCAATTCAGTGAATATAAAGATCTGATGCCCGATACATCTACGCTTATGTGATGAGTGCAAAGATATGTTCGTGTGTTCTACACCAATTGTACGTCCAATTTGGGCGGCAGTGCGCACATTTCAGTAACAGTGCAAGCGATTTCGACAGTACAGCATAGTCTGTCTATGGCAAACTGTAGAAATCGGTTGCACCATTACTGAAAAGTGTGCACTGTCTATACTTGGCCTAAAAAGGTGTATGTCTGGTGGTGTCCTCTCGTGTGTTTTGCTTCCACCTAAGCCTGTGTCTTGTCATCTGTTGGAAGCGAGACTGTGCTCGCTTTTGGTGGCTTTGCTGGAGTTTTATAGATTCTGATGAAGCTTGTGGCAGCGTTTCGAAACGAAGCTTAGTGCAGTGGTGTTACGAAGTATACAGCATATAATGATATCGCTTGTAAGTCAATGTGAATTCTGTGTTTTTCTTCAGATTGTCTTTACAGGTACATGAAGGCATGCGAACCAAATGTTACGCTCATGAAATAACGCCAAAGCTTATGCGGCACATTAGGGGAAGTTGGGGGAACGCCGAATACTTTTTTCTGACGCCCGTAGCACGCAAGGTAGACAATATAAGCTATTCTTGTTGGCGTCATTCGAGAGGCCAGTCTTTTGTCTTTCAAACATACCAGGCGCATTTGATGAATTCGCATACCGTTAAGCGCAAAAACTAAAAATATCATAGAACTGACTTTTTCGGCGTTGCCCCGGACTGCGGGGAAAGCCGGAAATGGGATAAATGATCTACGAGGAATGCCGACATTGATGTTTTGCCAATTTATCTCAAACTTTATCCAAAATTCATCAAAGCTGACACGCGTTTTAAGAGCTTGAGGACGCTTGGTGTGCACACTGGAAGTTATAATTGTGTGACATAATAAAAAAATGCTAGGTAAATCATTCCTTATAGGTAACAGGCCGTTGTGCCGGCTGAAAGTGTAATTTGTTTGACTAAAAATACGCGTTGCTATTCTACAGCAGTAAAGTCCACGTAGCGTGCTTTAACGTGCGTAATTGCACGTTTTCGGCATTACCCCAGCCAGCCATACTTTCATTTGCAGGCCCATAACTTTTAAATGTGCTGTATGAATTTCAAATAGGCAGTACACTTATGCAAAGACATGCTGAAGATTACTTGACCGAATTGGCCAGACAAACAGTAGCATAATGAGTAAGAAATGCCAGGGCCTCCTCTAACATACCCACTGGGTGGGCCAATGCCCACCCAGTCACCACAATTGCCCACCCAGTGGCGTCGATTTGCCCACCCAGAAGCAAATGCAAAAATTCTGGTCCGGCCGGACGTCCGGTACTACCTTTATGGTCTTAAGCAAAGTGGATGCTGTTTGAAGGTAAAAAATAAGTTTTCTGGTTGCCCGATATTCAGGGGTGTAGTCAGAATTTCCTCAAGGAGGGGGCCAAACAAACAGGGATCCAAAATAACCCCCTTAAAATCCAAAAAGCCATCTGGTTGGATCCAATATTTTTTGGAGGGGGCCCAAATAAATAGAAAAAATATTTATTAACAAAAAATATTAGAACTGAGGGGGTAAGCAGTCCATGGGCCCTGTTAGATAGGCCCACGAATAGCTTCATAGAATCGCCAGTCGGTTTTGAGGGCGTTCTGAGGGCCCGTAGGTCGGATGAGGTTTCTTCAGACCGTCACAGGCCCCTACAGCGCATGAGAGCCTCGTAAGCCGTCTGAGGGTCATATAAGCCGCCTAAGGGCCACTAAGACCGACAAAAGCCCTCTTTGCACTTGCAGAGGCCCAGTCAGGCCGACGGAGGGCTCTCTCAGACAAACTAAGGACCCGTTCAGGGCATTTGAGGGCTTCCTCAAACCGATAGGGGCCCCTCAGATCGACAGTAGATCCGATCCGAGCTCCCTCAAACCGATATAGGGTCAGACCAACAGTCGGAACGCATTGATTCTGTTTACACACCGTTGGACCCAAGTTGGACCCATCCCATCCAACTGACCCCCTGGTTTCAATAGGGCCCCAAGGCTCTAAAATTGGGGCTCTCTTGGCCAAAGTATAACTATCAGCTGTGTCAAAGGATTTGCCGCAGGGGCCTTTGCGTCGCCAAGGGCCCACTGTGTCAGCCAGGGGCCCCTATAGAATAAGGACCCCTGGCTTCCAGGGGGGGGGGGCATGGTCCCTTTGGCCTCCTCCTTGGCTATGCCACTGCAGGTGACAAGCGTTCTTCCAGGCGACCAGGGGGCAGGGGCCAGGCGACCAGGCCCCCAGGCGACCAGGGGCCCCCATGCGACTAGCCCCCAAGCGACCGGGGCCCTCTAGGCGACCAGGGGCCCCAGGAAACCGGGGGTCATCGGATGAGTGCAGGGGCCCATTGGGTCATCAGAGGGCCACAGAAATGAAACTTCGATATCAAATTTCTCCGAGTAAAAGACGTTTTATCCAGTGTTTGAAAAAAATATGCTGGGGCCTGAGGGGCTCCCCCATGGCGCGTTTTGCGCTCAAGGGAGGGGGCCATTGCCCCCGTGGCCCCTCCCCCTTGGCTACGCCCCTGCCGATATTGTTATTCATGGACAAAGCCAGCTAAATCTCTAAATACGGCTGAGCTAAACAAATAAGCAAGAATCATTACCGGTTCGGGCAGCCTTTACTACAATGTATTACGAGTATGTTAGTTAGCCCTCGCCCGGTGAGGGGGGTTGATGCACCCCCCTAAGGTTTTTCACAAATAACGTAAAAACGGCGGCGCTCAAATTTGGCATACCCTCTGGGGCAACCTTTTGGCACTTGTCCTGAAAATTTCAGATCTCTAGTCTTTTCAGGTCAGGTCACCAGGTCACAAACCCCGTACAAGGTCAGGGGAAAATTGGACTAGTTTAGCGGCAACCGAATGCCAGAGTTTTTCGTTGATAGCGTGAGTTCTATGGCACGTAGCGCTACCAAATCTAAGACACGACTTGGAGCATCTGTTTGTCACTTGGCCTTGGAGTTTTAGGTTCCAGTGACCCGAGGCCAGGTCACAAGTCACAAAAACTGGTACATTGTCAAAATAGCAAGAATACTGAATAAGAATACCTATACCTACCACGCAGTTTGCGGAGGGCTGTACGTACATGTAACTCTGGAACGAATCGCTCGAGCATCGCTAACCATAAAACATGCGACAAACGTTAACTTTGCAAACTATCATCTTATTTCCAATAACGGCACTGCTTATTTCGCCTCACCCCCGCCCCCCCCCCCGCTAACAGGTTTTGAAATTGGCTGAACCCCAAAACAGTGGCTGGATTCGCCCTTGGGCAGGGAAGTAGCGAAAATTCTGCCCACCCAGTGAAAAATCCTTAGAGGAGGCCCTGAGAAATGCAGCTTCAAAGGCGCATGTAGTACAAGGGAAACGTACCTTGAAAACGCTTTTGGCGCCCTCACAGCCGAAGTATTCCAAATGACAACTCGTAGCAAACATGCGATAATTGTAGTCACTTAACCCGCGCCCCGCTGGGCTATTCAGCCATACGCGCCCTGCTGGGGGGGGGGGGCAGATTCTGCCCCCCCCCCTGTCTAACTTCCGAACCGATGGTCGTAGAAAGACGGGGAAAACGGCAATCGAAAGCTCTCAACAAGGCGGATCTTAAGAGCCCAAATTTTTTTTGCTTAAGTAGGTCAGAGGTCAGGTCAAGGTCAGGTCAAGGGTACAAAATGCAAGTTTCTACAGTATCGGCCTTGCACCGAAGTTGCCGAAGAATGGACTGAGACTGATTGCCCAAAACGTGTTCTTAGACTACCAAGACAATATTCGTTGCACACAATGTCATTCAAAGGTCAAGGTCAAGGTCAGGTCAGGTCAGGTCACCAAAAACAAAATATAGAAAAGGGCATGTGCGACACATGTTTTATGGGTCATTTTACTCATGGAATTCAATAGGCACACTCAATAAGTGATATGGACCACCTCTGGATGAATTTCAGGTCGAGGTCAGGTCAAGGTCAGGTCAAGTGAGGTCAAATTTTGAAGTTGGTTGTTAAGGCCTAAAAAGGTGTCTATCCGATGCAGTTTTTCACGCCGAATCGAATGGTGCTATTTTTATTTCCGTACGAGGTCTAGAACTTCCAAAAAAATTATTTTTCAAAATTTTTGTGAGTCGTGACGTCATAAAATTTTGAATAACTCCCACATTTTTGAACCGATTCTTCTAAAAATTGGTATGTAGGTGCACATAGACCACTTCTTTGATGTATATTCCGGTTTTTTCGATAAACTCAAAATTTTGGATTTTATAAATATTTTCCCAAAAAAGTCAGTTTTTTGGAAATATTTTGGCCAAAATCCATCATTTTCAAAAAACCGAGATAGCCATTTGATAGATACCTAAAGTAGAATCACGTATAACCTTTTTTGTTACGTCTTGATTCCTTTAAAAATGAAGAAGTTAGCGGCGTTTGAAATTTTGCCGTTTTTTAGGCGAAAATAGCGAACATGACGTCACTAAAACGTCAATTTCTCAAAAAATTTCCGACGGATTTCGCTCAAATTTTCAGGGAACGTGTCAAATTGATATATGATAAGGTACTGAAAGTTTGACGTCGCTGGCGTAACGCGTTTAGAAGTTATTGGCGAAAAACTGGAGGGGGGCAGATTCTGCCCCCCCCCCCCCCAGCGGGGCGCGGGTTAAGCTTCAGAGCATCACTGAGACGTGGCATCCATGTCGTACGGTTTTAGAAATATCTCGAATTTCGGCTTTGCCCCAACTCCGGCATTGCCCCAACTTCCCCTATTACTTATTCTTGCAATCGTAGAAGGGAAATGGAATATTCCCAAAATTACTCCTACAAAAATTTCTATCTGGAAGTGTTTGCCTCTTTATTTCAGTACCGAATAAGAACACCAGGCAGCCGATCCGCTAAGTGCGATGACCGGGGCTCCTTTTGAGCCGCTTTATGGCGCTCGGTATTAGCCGCTGGCAGGACAGGGATGACCTGCCTGCAGTCAGAAGTGTTTTACGACAAGCTCGATTAATAATCATGTCTGTCTATCGTTTTTTTGAACGTACATGGCTGTTTCTGGCAATACGAATGTCACGAAGAACTGTTTCAACGATTGTAGGCTGATATATTAACCCTATTAGTGGCAGGCTCCTGGCTACCCCTATTAGTGGCAGGGGGGGGGGGCTGTTTACGACCCCCCCCCCTGATATCTCGAGATCTAACGGGCCGATTTTCAAAATTCAAACGGCATTCGATTTCGTTCAACGTGATCTACATTTCTAAAAAAATTAAGAAATGTCAATAGGGGGTAGAGGGGGGGGGGGGGAACGGGCAAATTGCAGATACATTTTAGACTGTTTATCACGGCCAGGTTTCTGAACCAATCTCAACGCAACTTTTGCCGATCGATAGAGAATGAACCAGGAATTCACATGGATCCTAAAAATATGCATTTTCAAAAATCATAGGCGGATAGAGATCATTGAGATTGGGGGTACACAAAAAGTATAGAAAATAAGGCTTTTGTTGGTACTGTTTCTAAAAAGGGTGGTAATGGTCTTGTTATGTTACAATTTTCTTATGAGAGAACGACTACAATTGTATTGGTCATGCATAGGCGGTGTCAGGGCACCTATGTTGGGAGGTAAAACATAACCCCCCCCCCCCTTTGGGACGCCTGGATCCGCCTATTATAGTAAAAACGTGTCAAAAGAGGATGCACAATAACTTTGTATATGTTATCACATGATACCTTTCATTCACTGTTCGTAAAACTGGTGCATACAGTTATAATACATCAGCATCATGATCTTCGCCCAAATGACTCGCTTCAAGAATAGGACCCCCCCCCCCCCCAATTTCCAGTGCTCTGGAGCCGCCCCTGGTAAAGTTATGAACTTGAAATTTTCAGGGAATGTGCCCAATTTAGTTTTAGGAAAAGTCAGAAAATTTCAGCATCGTAGCTTTAGCGGTTTCGGAGATATTCCCGAAAAACCTGAGGGGTGGATGAAAACAACCCCCTGCCACTAATAGGGTTAAGATCGATTTGAAATTACGTCACAATGATGTCAAAAGACTGATTATAGATTAGCCTTTCTTAGTTTCCACGCGATATATTCGATACCTATATGTAGGATCTAGTATACCTATAGGAGCGAAAACTGGTCAGGAACTACTACTAGGTAAAAGGCTACTTAGACGAGTCGGGATGACAGTAAGTGCAGTTTAGTTCATTCATCGTTGCGTTTCATGCTCATTGCTCAGTGACATCAGAAGCGCTCCATGCCGGAAAACGTCAAAAATTTATGACGGCACTGTGACGTCATCTGAAGCGCTACAGCCACCAAACTTTTCTCAAATATTGCCTAGGTTTTCATTTGAAGATATGCCTGTACGTTTATGTTCATAGCTCATAAGGTTTCGGAGATATTCTACTAAACGTCAAGGGGGAGGTAACTTTATCTCCCCCGCCCCGCTCCCCCCCCCCCCCCCCCCAGCGGCTGGTGTAAAATTGATTAACTCGACGTGACTGAAAGTTTCATCACGATCAGCCCCTTTTTGCGCGAGTTATTCGCGAAAAACAGATGGGAGCCCGTTCGACCCCCGTATAAGAGCGAGGGTTGAAGGGTGAGAGGCATGATAGTAGCGCGTCGCTGGATGATAAGATCAGAATTACTGAAGTCGGAATGTGCAATGTGTAACACGTATAGAGCGCAGGGAACGTATAGAGCGCAAATAATGTTGGGGACTTTACTGTTCTGGTAGGTATGTGCACCATCGATCTCTGTATCCAGGGTTTATGATGGCGCCCTATAAATCAAAAGAATAGGTAGGTATTTTAGATTCATAATTTTGTTCGTCCCCTCGGTGACAGTGTGTTATTATATATCTGTATGATGTATAGGTATGGCCCCAACGACATCAGTTTCAACGTCGAGCACTTTCCACGGGTGTTTATTACGGGGGAAGATATGAGCGATGGCCGATGGCTATAAAGTGCCTTGCCTATATAGCTTCACCGAAGCAATTGACATCCTCGTCCATTCCCCAGGTCAATCGGTTCGGTGACTTTTAGATTATAGCAGGCCATTCCTCGGTCAGGCTTGAAGGATCCACCGTCACTTTGCGCAGTACTTTTAAGACAGACTGTATATACATACCTACCTATCCGGTACACTCCATAGTGAAAATGTGTCATAACTTACGCTTGAAAGGAACGCTATCGGTCTATGCTCCTATTGTGTTGGAATACGCTGGGCTTTCATTGGTAGAGGACTTTCATCTTTCATCTGGCTTTTATCGGTCGGCTCTTCGTGAATTTATTGGGTGGAATGCGTCATATCTATTCCAGCTATAGGTATGAATAATCGCACTGAATAACGCATTCACTGTGAGCCAAAGTACGCCAGAATGGTCCTATGATTCTTCAGGTCACGCGCGTGTAGCGTGACCAGTGAAAGATGTCGTCACACATATGTAAGTGAGGCGTGTTATGCTTGATCATAATATCATCGTTTGTTTGGTTGTTTTGTTGGGTTAGGCCCTTTCGGTCTGACAAGACCATTGCAGAGCCGGAAGGATGATAGGAATTAGGGGGAGACATTGGTCTGGGCAGGCACCCTAGTGAGTCGCCGGGGCTGAGCCCGTCCAGAGGACAGGCCACCCAGCCCCAAGGCACTCACTGCACCCGGCTACGGGGTGCGCTCCCTCGGGAGCAGCGGTGCCGCTCCAAGGGAGCAGCCCGCATGAGATAAAGTTGCCTGCCCAGCCCGGAAGGGGGTTGTGGCGTGGAGGAGAAGGATTTCAGTATCCTGAGGATAGAAGCACGGACAGGTGTGAATATCATCGAGCATAGACCTCTGTATACAGAGGTAGACAGAGGTCTATGCATCGAGTATAGACGTTACACTATTGTAATAAATTTTATACTCTCTGTCCATCATTGCTTGTCAGCGATCTTTTCCCATATGATTATGAGGTTGTTTCTATAAGAATTTGGATTATTATACTATTTGGTATATAAAAGTATGGGTTGCGAATACCTTTTATGGCGTTGTCCGAGCTTCCTCTGCTTTTGATGAAACGGTCATGCGATCGTAAGCCGTAACTTCTTACCGTTGTGCGGCCAATGTCTGTGTTTTTTTTTTATACGAAAAGCCGGTGCACTGAGCAGTGTGCTATGTGTAGTAGGCATATACTATGCATGTTGATACTTTATATGACTAACTTTGCAACAATAACGTTATGGCAGCAACACACTCAACAAAATAAAACGTCTTAGATCAGCCGCTCACGCGCTTTTGTCCCACAATACGGCTGTACTCGTGATAAAGTTAACGGTTACATGCGTATTTAGACCAACGCTCACGAATAAGATAACCATCTGTTCTTGAGTTAAATTATACACGATAAGCAAGCCATCACCTTTCGCTTGACCGACCCTAACCGTTGGGTTAATTTTGCAACAATTACGTGCAGATTGCGCTCTGACCTTTGGACATCAGTGCCGAACTTCTAGCACGATCAGGGATCGAACGGCAGGGGGGGGGGGGGTCCGACCGACCCCCCCCCCTCCCTCCTACACGTTAGACGCTGACAAACTCCGCACAGTACACTATTGTACACTTCTCGATCGCGTCCTCACTCCTAGGGCATTTCATTTTTCATCTCAACAATTCGTATGTCGGCTCGCATTAGCGGCGCGTTTGCAGTCTTTGCGTGGTTTCAAGCGTTCAAACAGGTGATATGATGTTGGTCCCATGCATTAGGGTGGGTGTCAATGTCACCTGAAGGTCAGGTCAGGTCACTGGACACTGAGCTTTGATGACCTTGGTTCACTTTTTCGAGTTTTATATGTTTCTAGGCTAGTTTTTGGAGCTGCATTCGAATTTAGCAACAATTTGAACATTTACGAAATAGTTTTGGTACCTTCGTAACATGTTACGAAGCTGTCGGAGGTGGTTGACACCTACTGCGAACACCCTGCAGGACCCTTACTGGTTGACTTGACCTGACCTGACTCGACCTGGCCTAAATGTATGAAGGCAACGTTGTGATCAAAACTAACACGATATTCGTGATCAGCACCCCGATAAACCCTGAGGCAGCCACACTTTACGACGTTCTAACAGGTACCGATTTTCCCGACTTTTGGGTCATTGACCTGACCTCAGAGGTCACCATTTGACCTATGACCTTAAAACCAGGTACCGTTGGCTTCGTCTCATGACGACCTACACGATGATTTTTTTCCGCGAGGGTCTAGCTTAATTAGGGGGCAAACGCGAGGGGGTTGTACCCTCCCCCCCTCTCCTGTGCCGTCGAAGGACACAAAATGGCCTGTGCCGGCGGGAGCAATAATCAATTATTGTTATTCAATGTACTCTTGAATACCTTCTTCGAGTAAGTAAAATATGTCTATTGTTTAGACCGAAGTGTTATCTTCGCGTTTTATTTTTCTGCCGAAACGCAGCGCACGTTATTGCAGGCAGCAGCAGCATGCACCATTGTTATCTTTGTCGGGTTATGTTACATACCTTTACACAATTTTAATAATTACCGGAACGAGCAAATTGAACTGAAACCGTTACCAACGCACAGCCCTTAACCCCACTCTGTTCCAGCTTTTTGAATATACATTAACCACTCAAAAATGTTGGTGTGCATTTGTGCTGGCGTCTGAGCTCTGCTCCCGCCCTGCTCAGGCGCAATCTTCTCTATGACACAGCCACAGCTGACACAGGGGAAAACTCAGCGTGGGGCAGTCCCAGTCCGCCCACTCCGCCGAAAAGCGGATGTAGATACAATCGGCGTTGTTGGTATCGCCCCAGTTGTTGGGCTCGCCGAACATCCACCAGGCTGCAGGAGGCGACACTCGTCCGCAGGTGTCCTTCCCCATCCACGTGCCTTCGGTGACCTCGTCGGTGACTCCCAACCAGACATCATCGCCAACAGCCAGATTGATAGCGCACTGGTTCTCGGCTTCCGAACGGGGCACGGCCAGGTGGGCGCCCAGCGCGGCGCACTGGCTCTCCGCTTCGGCGTAGAGCACCTTCTTTAGGGCGATTCGACGGTAGCAGCGACCGGCGCAGCGCGTAAAACCGGGGGGACAGCTGCAACGCGAGCCGATGGTTCCTGGAATAGAACGGGGACGACTGAAATGTGAGGGTCAAGTGATGACTAAGATGAACATGGGAATTGAATTATTACCTTTTTTGTCGTTTTTTTTTTAAATCGAAGTCTTTGATTTTATTAGGGTTGATCTCTTCGTCAAACGAGACTTTTACACGAATAGAAGGATGAGAGGAATTAGGGGAGACATTGGTCTGGACGAGAGCACCCCGGTGAGTGGCCGGGGCTGAGCCCGTCACTTGGACAGGCCACCTAGCCTCCTACCGGTCACCCAACGGCGCACATGAGTCTGCTCGTGAGGAGCTACCCACGCTGGATGAATTTGACCATCCTGCCCGGATCTAGGGGTTAGAGGTGTGGAGGAGAAATATTTGGTTGTCTCGAGGATAACAAAGGGGAAAAGGATTATTTTTAAAAGCTCAGTCTTGAATTGAGTTATAACCAAGTTTTTACCCTGATTGAAGTTTTGTCCCTGAACGGTTAATTAGATATTGGTAATTGATATCGCTAATTAATATTGATATTTAGTGATATTGCTATTGCTAATTAATATTGATATTCAATGACATTGATATTGTCTATTGATATTGTGTTAAGCAAAGGAATTTGAGGGATGCAAGAAGCCATGCCACCCCATTGATTGCTAATTGCCGGCTCTGGGGACTTTTAACCTCCATCTCCGTCATATATCAGAATCGCTTACCTGGGCAGACTGATCTGATCCATCGCTCTGACGTCGGCTGGCCCTCGTCGGGCGGGGTAGCCGGTCCCTCGCACACGTTTCGCCCATTGTACAGGTGACACATTCCATCACCTCCGTAGACGAATCCGCCGCAAGCAGTCGCCTCCTGCCTCTGACATTTGGCCGAACAGAACAGACGCGACGGAGCGGCGAAACTTGATACGGGTGAATCGGTGAACTGGACCGGCTTCTTGGTGAACTGAGATTTACTGGCCAGCGTTAGAACGCTGAGTGATAACAGAGACAATCGGCGCAGTGTGGCGCCCAGCGCTGCCGACATATCGGACGTCCGCGCTCGACGACCGGCGCCGAGGCTTTATCAGAGACAAAACAGATGCCCAGCGTCGAAGCCGACGACGGAACCGACGACGCCAACGAAACGTTAGTTTCAGCATGGGCTGGGCGGCGACTCGTCTGATAGTTGACATGACGACGACGCAACAGAGACCGCAACATTGGCAGTGACGCCACGTTAGTTCCGGCCGCCACGCGCCGAGGCGGTATGAATATTTGACGGAGGGCCAAGAATTATCAACCGAGGTGCCCCCACCGACGGTAGTTAATCACATCAGCTATGTGCAAGGCCTTAAAGGTTGGTGTCACGGACGGAAAATGGAAACTTCAGAGCGGGCGCAATCACGGTGAATGTCGGCTCAACATTGGGAATGTTTTGTAACAGAGAGCTAACGAATCATACTGCAAGCTTTAATCGGGTCGTCGACGTTTGGCTGTATAGTTAAGCAAAGCTCAATAATGCCATGATTTCTCATTATTCGGACGCTCGTCGGTCCGTCATGTAATGTCATATCTGAATTATGCATTCTGCAAATAGGCCAAAATGCTATTTTACATAACTCAGAACACCTCGCGATAAAAAACATGCCATAACTACAGTCAAAATAAAACGACAAAGTGGCTAGCATACGTCATCGGTAAACATTTAGAGCAAAGCAACAATCCAGCGCTATACTGCTTAAGGTCAAGCTACGTGATGCGTGACCATCCTGGAAATTACGTGCGTGTTTCGCAGATCCGTGATTGCGGAACTTCCAATCCAATCATTGATATTGGTTTCTAAGTTTTCCAGAATTTCCATGAAATATCATACGCTGACGTAGGTATAAATATAATGAGTGCAGTCCTGATAAACAAATCGGTTCGTTTGCATTTGAATATCTTTATTTTACCTTTATCTAAAATATTTATTTTGTCAATACAATGTTAACAAAACATGTTTTTACTGGATTGCTATTTATTTATCGATGTTCGATGTACTATGAATAACCCACAAAAAATAGTACGATATTGTTGGTAACATCTGAAATATGAGGACCCTCTTTGGCATAGGGGGTACGCCCAGCCGTGAGGGGCACACCTACCTATGTCTGTGACCCCCAATCGAGTGAGCGCTTACAAGTAGGTGTGTGTGTGTGTGTGTTTTTTTTTTTTAGAAGTCCCCACCCATGCTCTAGCATCGAAACCCATGGTAATCAACGTGTCACACTCATAGTTGTGAATTTCTGGATTTAATTGTCGGATTTTTTTTTATAGGTGACCTACCTAAGCATGGGTGTGGATTTGTAATGTATATCATCGGGGTGCCTCAGCACCCCCAAAAGACTTGAGTACCCCAACAGGGGCACCCCACAGGCAACAGCGGCACACGCACGTCGTGTTTTTTTCGTAAAATATTTTGCGACTAACGCTCTTTATCCTACAATCATTTTGATTTACCTATAATATGATTATATACGATGACCTATTTACCTTACGAGCTTTGCGTTACGGTCTTTTGTCGTACGATCTTTTACAAGATACGATCTTTTCTTACGATCATTTACCCGCGATCTTTTTCATACGATCCTTCTCTTTACGATCTTTAGCCTACGTTCTTTGGTCGTAGGTACGATCTTTTGCGACATACGATCTTTATCTTACGATCATTCTCCTACGATATTTTTGCATACTATCTTTTGCTTTACGATCCCTTGCTTATGATCTTTAGTCGAACAATCTTCATCTTCCATCATTTTCATATGATCTCCTTGCATACGACCATTTTCTTTACAATCCTTTGCTTACGATCTTTAGTCGTACGATCTTTTACAGCATACGATCTTTATCTTACGATCACTTTCCTACGATCATTTTTCCATACGATCTTTTGCTCTACGATCTTTTGTCACGTAATCCGATTAGCAGGTGTTGGTTCTGGAAAAAACCATCTGATTCATGTACAACTTACGCCATTCAACAAGCTAAAAAAAGGAAAACAGCAAGGAAAAAACAAACTGGTTCAACCAGCTTACGCATTTACGCGACAGCCAAAGATGCCGCACATGTGAGCGCCGCACTTCACGAAATATACCGTTTTTGCGCTTTTTGTGAATTTCTGATGAATGAACTGGTCACTTGGAGTCGCACGATTGATTGAATTGGATCATGGGACAACGGTAACTTGCGTTCAATGAAGAGTCTATATTCTATATACTCTTAACAAGTCACTAATAAACGGATGACCTGTCACATCCACAGGCTATCCCATCTCAATCAAAGCCGCTCTAACGTCGAGGATGGGACCTAGCAAATAAATCTATTTTATAACAATTGCGAAACATTGTGCGATGTGCAGTGGACTATCGTATTACGAAAATTAGAACATCGTCATGCTACTACGAGGGTAACTTATAGGTAGATACACGTCTTTTGACAACGCAGTTTGTGGCTGCAAAACTGATAAATTAAACAGCAACTGATAAGGCAGTGTATGCAGCTTTGCTGTTTCACATACGCAGCTGGCGATGCACCGATAAGTCAAAACCTGTCAGCGGCCAGGCCGAGCGTTGTCCTTGAACTTTGTCGGTGGAATAACAGCTACAAATGTGTTATGGTAGTACCGTAATAACGACATGGTTCCTCAGCAGCCGGTAGCAATAAATATTTACCGTATTAATCCGCGCCGCGGTGGTTCGATCTGAACTCATCGGGACTGAGGGAGAGGGTAAGGGCGTAAACTGTCCCTCTCCTCACTGGCGGATTCAGAAAGGCGGTTTTGAACGCTACGGGGGGGGGGGGGCATGCCTCCAAAAAAAGTTTCTCCAAGCTGCAGTAAATATTTGGATTTCGATTCCTTACGCACTGCTGTGCAGTTGCTTAAAACAAACTTTTCCTCATAAAAGTTGCCTAGTTTTCGTTTTATTCTCGAAGAACCGCACATTTTCGCTGACTTCAGGCACTGCGAGGGGCAGCATTTGTCCCAAATGCCCCCCCCCCCCGGATCCACCAGTGCCTCCCCTTTAACTCGATGTCTGTGGTCAATCTTATAAATGTCGTGAATAGGTTTGGGTAGTGTGGAAATGTAAGGTGTAAGTAAGTATGCCTTATGGTCGACGTAATTTCATTTCTTATTAATTTTGTCCGGCTAGTGGCGGATACATTCACTGCAGCCCTCCATTCATTCACTTTCGTCGTGCCTTATCAAGTATTCATGGTGTCTTGCATGCATTTACACTGCATTAGATAATTGCGCTCGCTATACGCATATGGCTGGCTCGGCAAGCTCCGACTATAGTGATGTATATTGGTAACTAAACCTGCCACGACGCGAAACAGCATGACATTCAGTCGTCCAATCCTATTTCGTGATGCAGCCCAAGTGCCGCGACGTGTACAAGGGATATTTATTGATATACCCAAGTACGCGTTCAGTGATCTTTTATAACCACTTCACCCTCACCACCTTTGCCAGACGCTACCGTACAAGGGGGGGGGGGGGGAGTTCATACTTCATTGCCCACCCCTCTCCCCCAGCCGTAACCCTGATCGAGCTGGAGCTTCGCGGAAAAGAGCGTGCTGCCCGTGATGAGAGAAAGCCGATGATGCCCAATTTTAAGGTTCTAGGTCATTGGTTGACCTACCAGGTCAGGTCGTCAATAACTCAAAAGTTGTGCGACCTGCTAGCAAGTCTTACAAGAGATCGTTACGATTTTTTTCGAGGTATTGATTTAAAACTTGGGATTTTTTTTTTTTTTGGCTAAAGGTGATATACTGGTGCATATATGCATTTTGGTTTTGGTCAAAGCCTTCAAATTTTAAAGTCTCTCTATGTGTAAAATTAATTAACTTAACTCGAGGGTACTGAAAATTTCGCGAAAACCCCGGGAGGGGGTCATCCGACCCTCTTCCCTCTAAGTGCGCGGGTCGCGGGGTCAACATTGTGACATTCCTGTACCAACAAATGCTGATATGTATGCTAATTGCACATTCTACATATTTTTTATTTTATTATTTTTTTTTTTATAAATTTTGTCCGAACCTTTTGATGGGAAGGATTCACAAGGACAGAGCCACCGCTAAGCGAAGCTTGTTGCGATGACCCTGCCCTCTACCCTCCGATCGCGCAATTCCGATTCTATGGCAGAATTTAGAGTCCAAAGTTTAACGTGCGCACAAAGCCGCGCACGGCCGGTCCCCTCGCTGACTTCGCCTGGCTACGGCCTGCCACCAACCGCAACCATACCTGTCAGGAGGCCCATAAATGTAGAGCGCCCGTCGCGCTTCGAACCCGGACTGTTATAACCGGGAACGCGTGCTCTCACCACGCGGAGTCCAACGCTCTAACCAACTGAGCTACGGGACCGGCCCCCTGCATATGCAGCATATGCTGATCAGTTACAGTATTACATTGACGATGAGCTATAAAAACAACATTCCATTGCTTCTTGCCTCGTTTATATTGCGTACGTTCGTTAAGTGAAGTCATATCGAGAGCATGCTTGGTAGTTAGGTACACCTATCTTATTCGCTACCGGTGTTAACATAAATGAATAAGAAGATTTAAACGCACACGTTTACGGTTTAAATAACAACATCTATCTGAATGTTATCCCAGGAAAAATAGTTTCATACATTAAACCAGTAAAACGCCTTTTGGGCGAAGAACGAGCGAGCGAGATAGTGAGCCCTGCACGTGCGGAAGGGCGAGAGGGTACTTCCAACGGGCTTGCGCAAAGCACTCTTCTAACCGGTCGCTAGCGGTGTGCCAAATTTGAACGCAATTGGCCCAGCCGTTCCTGAGATCTGGAAGCGGCATTCTGCACGTGCGCACGTGCAAACGGGGTCCAAACTGACTTTTGCACGGCACCCTACTAACCGGTCTCCAACCGTGTACCAAATTTGAGCGCAATCGGCCCAGCCGTTCTCGAGATCTGGAAGCGCCCCCTGCACGTGCGCACGTGCAGTAGCACCTTAACCGCAACACATGTGAATGCATTGCCTGGTGGGTGCCTACCTGTATGCCAAGTTTCAGCGAAATCGCCCCAGTAATTACCGAGTTATTAAAATGGGAACAAATTTGACACCTCTTATTGTTGTATTTTGCACGTGCACTGGGGGTGACCCACATGCATCGAGAGTATCCTATTTTTGGTAGAAAGGATGCAGCTACCCTATAGAAATTACCGCAAGTCAATCGCCCAAGCGGCTGCTGAGATATGAGCCTCTCAAAATCACTACTTTTGCAAAATAGCTTGAACACCCTTGACTTTTCAACGTGGCACGTGCCACGACGGTCACTGAGATGCATCAAAAGTAGTCAATTACGGGGTAGAAGGGATGGGGCTACCCAGCAAAAAAGACCGCAGGCCAATCGGTCCAGCGGTTGCTGAGATATAAGCCTCTCAAAAGCGTTACAGGCCGGGCCGGGCCGGGCCGCTCATAC